GAGAGAGAGAGAGAGAGAGAGAGAAAGAGAGAGAGAGAGAGAGAGAGGACGGTGTTCAAAGATAACTCATCTGTTCCTCTCTCACACACTCACACAGATCTGCTCGGATCCGGCTGCTCTTCTGGATTCAGTCACTGAAGATTCGGGACGCTTTCGGCTCACAGAGCTTCAGTCCATGAGGAGAGACAGAGACCGACAGAAGAGTGTATCAGCGTCATTCTGAAGGTCAGTGTGTGTTTGTGCGCGTCACAGCACGTCTTTCTGTCTCTTCGCTTTCTGACTAAATCATGTTTTTGTAGTAGTTTACTCACGCTTTTACTGCTCAGGAGTTTCTCAGGACACTTTTCAGCATTTAACTTCGTCTCACATGTAAGTAATAAAGTAAAGAGTATAGAGTAATGAAAAGAGGCAATTATTAGTTGACATACAGTAAGAGTACAGAGCTATACAATTAATTTGTATAGCAGTTCAGATCATTTATGAAATTTGAGTTTTGAGCACAGATTGAGACAATGAGATCTTTATTCTGATAACCATAACTAAAACCATAAAAAACATTTTTGTTACATAAATGTTAACTATAAAAAAATGAAAGCTGAATGAAAAATGTTTCAACTAATTTCTCATTTTTATTTAAAGTACTAAAAAAATTAAAACTAAAACTAAAACAAATAAATAAAAACTAATAAAAATATACAAGCAATTTTTTTTAATGACAAAATTGCAAAAACATGCAGCAAAATTACTAAAACTTTAGCTAAAATTTAACTAAAACTATATATACACATATATAGTCACATTATTAAATAATTAAAAATTACAAAAACATGCAACTAAATTACTAAAACAAACTAAAATGTAATTAAAATTATATATACATAAAAAAAGGAATATTACAAAAGCATGCAATAAAATCACTAAAACTTTAACTAAAATTAAAACAATTATTAAAACAATACAAATTAAAACAAATTCTAAATATTAACAAGAACTATAATAGCGTCTCAGTGATACCGACCTGAGATTACTGTGATCAGGAGACACTTCTGAGGATGAGAAGAGTCTTCAGCAAAAGTCTCCATTTAGTCTCATTGCTGTCTCTGAGAAATAACGGAGACATTAAGAGATCTCAGTAGATCTAGAGACTGACTTACCGTTTCAGAGGAAAAGCACAGGATCTGGTGTTAAAGCGAACGCCGCTGCTGGAGTTCAAAGTGAATCGGCTCGTTTGATGGGATTCGGCTGAACTGATGTGAACAGTGTGTTTGTGGCTTTCCATTAAGTTTCCAGAGAAGCGTGCTGCATTTGAGACACAATCACTGACATGTGTGACCAGCTGTTATATTTTGTGCATCGTCTGAGTTATATTATAGCAAGTGCACCAAAAGCCTAAATGTGTTTGCATTTTATAATACATTAAAAAATGACATTTATATATAAAAAAAAAAAACATTCCATTTTAGAATTTTGCACAGAGGAATGAAAGCTGAATGAAATGTTACATTACGGGAATGTTACTTTTGAATGTTCTCCGACTGTTCCAAAACAAGTATAACATTTAAAAAATGTTAGAAGAACATCCAACTTGGCATTCTAGGAACATTTAAATGTCCAGTTTTCCTGTCATGATTAGAACATTATTTAAAGGTTTCAGGGGGGACAAAAACGTTCCAAGAATTTTGTATAATGTTTTTTCTGCTAACATTTAGAGAACATTATCAAAGACCCAGTTAACAAAAATATGCTCTAAGAACATTTAGCTAATGTTTCCATTAAGTTATTTCTGAATGTTCCCTTAATGTTCACAAAAAAAAAGTTGTTGTTTTTTTTAGTTCAGTGAACATTAAAAAATAACATTTTTATAACTTAATGGGAATGTTAGCAAATCGTACTTAGAACATATTTTTGTTAGCAGGGAATCTGGTCTTTAATAATGTCCTCAAAACGTTAACACAAAAGTGTTATTTACACATGCATGGAACATTTTGTTTCTAAAACATTTTAGTTGGATGTTCCTCAAACGTTTTTTTTTAAACGATACTAGTTGTTTCAAAATGTTCAGAGAACATTCAAAAGTAACATTCCCCTAATGTTCGCAATATTATACAACTGAACGTTTCCTTAACGCTCGCCGTTTAAAAAACTGAAAAGAACGGGAATAACGTTTTTGTAACTTAATGGGAACGTTAACAAAACGCTTTTTGTTTTAAGCTCTTTCAAACGCAATGCGCATTATATAAGCAGCCAAATCTTCCTTTTTCGCTATTTAACAGAATGGATTTTTCTCTACGCAAACATCTATTGTATTTATTTTATTTTTCGCATATCAAATGAAAGTTGTCATGTTTATCACTGCAAAAAATGATTTTCTTCCTTAGTATTTTTGTCTTGTGTTGTAGTATAAATATCTACAAATTCTGGAATTAATATGCATTAACTTGACAAGTAAAATGACATTAGATATTAGGTATGTCTCGTTTTCTGAAATTATCAATTTTGTCAGTTTTTGCTTAAAACAAGTAAAAATATCTGCCAATGGGGTAAAATTATCTGGATAATATTTTCAGTCATTTTACTTGTCAAGTAAACGCATAGATATTTATACTAGAAAACAAGACAAAAATACTAATGAAGAACATATTTATTGCAGTTGTATATGTTCTTGATTCACACTAGTCTTGTGGTGAAATTTTCAAAAGCAGAGCGAGTTTTGAGGTTTAAAGTCTCGCCCCATTGACGTCCATTGGAACTGCATGACTCTAAAAGCGATTTTTGAGTGAACGCATCACAGACGCCGCCCATAAGGTCGCATTGTATCGAACCCAGAACAGTTTCTCTTTGTTTGTATCTTGTAGAGACACTTCCCACCGAACTCTTGACAGTAGGAGTCTTTGATCCACAATGCGGCCCCACAAAATCCTGCTAATGGCCGCCGTATCCTGTGTGCTGATTGGTGGAGGAAACTGTCAATCAAACTCATCCGATGGCTTCCAGCTCTCCGCTGACCCCAGCTCAGGTCACCGGTCTCCGAACCGCGTGATCTCTGACCCCAGAGCTGTCGGGTCGGTTCGTGTCCAGCCGCTGTCGCTGCCCCCGGCGTGTCTGAGGAGGACCTACATCGAGGGCTTGTTCAAATACGTCAACACGGTTCTGTCCTGCCTCATCTTTGTGGTGGGGATGGTAGGAAACGCCACGCTGCTGAGGATCATCTACCTCAACAAGACCATGAGGAACGGCCCGAACGCTCTGATCGCCAGCCTGGCGCTGGGAGACCTCATCTACATCGCCATCGACATCCCCATCAACGTCTATAAGGTAACGAACCAATCAGATCACTCCATCGTGTGTGTGTGTGCGTTTATTAGCGATTACTGCACAGAGACACGAAGGCTGAGTATCCAAATGCAGCTCTTTATTGAAAGGTAATCCAGAATCCGTAGTCTATAAACAGGCATAAGGTCATGCACAGGGCAGGGCAGTCAAACAAATACAAACAGGGCAAAACAACAACCACGACAAAGGAACCAGAATCCGAGGGCTAAGAACAGCAGTGTGACATTAACAAGACTAAACAAAGAATGAGAGAAAAACCAGGCTTTAAATAGAGTGAGACTGATGGGGTAACAAGACACAGGTGAATGCAATCAATAAACAAAAGTCCAGGCAAAGGATTATGGGGAATGTAGTTTTGAGGGAGTGACAACAGTGTGAGCTCATGGGCACTGCAGCCGGTGATCGTAACAAATATATTGTAAAATGTAATTTATTTCCTGTGATCAGTGCTGACAAACACAGGCATCAAGAACCAATCAGATCACTCGATCACGTGTGTGTGTGTTTATTAGCGATAATTTGCGCTCAAACTTGCTTTTGGTGTCATCCTCAAAAAATGAGTTATCAATCATGTAAATAATGAGGGTTTTGGGTTTTAATCAGTCTTTAGTTAATATTATACACCACCAGTCAAAGGTTTTTGAATAGTGAGATTTTTAATGCTTTTTAAAGAAGCTCACCAGGCCTGCATTTATTTGATCCAAGGTACAGCAAAAACAGTAAAATTCTGAAATATTTGTACTATTTAAAATAACTGTTTTCTATTTGATTATATTGTAAAACACAGGCGTCAAGAACCAATCAGATCACTCGATCACGTGTTTGTGCGTTTATTATAATTTGCGCTCAAACTTGCTTTTGGTTTCGTCCTCAAAAAATGATTGAAAAATCATGTAAATAAGGGGGGTTTGGGTTTTAATTAGTCTATACTTAATATAATTATCTTCATAGGTCCATTATTCAGATAACTAGGTCAGTGTTATTTAATATTAGTCTCAGTGTTATATTAGTATATCTTATATATTATTATTGTTCATATTATAATTTTAAAAATTGGCTTTTAATTTTAATTAATTTTTAGTTTAAGTTTTAGTAAGTTTATTATTATTATTATTATATTTATTATAATAATAAGTATTTTTACTAGGCTTCTATTTAGGTTTATTTTTAATTTCAGTATTTTTTTATTGCCGCATTAAACTCATTTTAGTTCAGTTATTTCTAATTTTATTTTGGTTCATACATACATACAAATGCATATATGTGATATCAAAATATTACATAGAAATTATACATAAATTATAAATACATATAATTAAATAAGGTAAATACAGTATAAATGTATTTGTATAATTATAGATAATATTTATTTAGTATTATTATTATACTATCATATACATTTATTATATAATCACAATATAATGAATAATATATATTATACTGTACTATTTATATAGTCTTATTTACATGTCTTATATATAAATTATATATAAACATATATAACGTATAAATACATTTATTTTAAAATAAATATATGAATATAAGTATATTTGTATATTTCAAGTAACTTTGTTTAAATTTGTTTAATAATATTTTATCATATATGTGAAATTTAATATTTTTAAATATTTCAGCTTTATTTCAATTAATGGAAGTAGGTTTTAATAGCTTTAGTTATAATTAACAATAACAGCACTGAGGTAAACATGTGCAGCAGTGGGTCAGACAGACTTATTTCGGGACAGTTATCAGTCTAACACTCATCACACGTTCAATCTCAAACACACACACACACACTGTTATGAAGATAAAAGCGCTTCATTCGTTTGTCTTTAAATATATCACACAGGTTGTGAAGATATGCTTTAACAGTCTGTGTGTGTGTGTGTTGTAGCTGCTGGCGATGCGGTGGCCCTTCGATGACAGTGTGTTCGGTCTGTTCCTGTGCAAACTGATGCCGTTTCTACAGAAAGCGTCAGTCGGAATAACGGTTCTCAATCTGTGTGCGCTCAGTGTGGACAGGGAACACACACACACACACTCACTCACTCACTCATTCACACTCACACACACACACCCACACACACCACACGCACTCGCACACCCCACGCACTCACACACACCCACACACACCACACGCACTCGCACACCCCACGCACTCACACACACCCACACACACCACACGCACTCGCACACCCCACGCACTCACACACACCCACACACACCACACGCACTCGCACACCCCACGCACTCACACACACCCACACACACCACACGCACTCGCACACCCCACGCACTCACACACACCCACACACACCACACGCACTCGCACACCCCACGCACTCACACACACCCACACACACCACACGCACTCGCACACCCCACGCACTCACACACACCCACACACACCACACGCACTCGCACACCCCACGCACTCACACACACCCACACACACCACACGCACTCGCACACCCCACGCACTCACACACACCCACACACACCACACGCACTCGCACACCCCACGCACTCACACACACCCACACACACCACACGCACTCGCACACCCCACGCACTCACACACACCCACACACACCACACGCACTCGCACACCCCACGCACTCACACACACCCACACACACCACACGCACTCGCACACCCCACGCACTCACACACACCCACACACACCACACGCACTCGCACACCCCACGCACTCACACACACCCACACACACCACACGCACTCGCACACCCCACGCACTCACACACACCCACACACACCACACGCACTCGCACACCCCACGCACTCACACACACCCACACACACCACACGCACTCGCACACCCCACGCACTCACACACACCCACACACACCACACGCACTCGCACACCCCACGCACTCACACACACCCACACACACCACACGCACTCGCACACCCCACGCACTCACACACACCCACACACACCACACGCACTCGCACACCCCACGCACTCACACACACCCACACACACCACACGCACTCGCACACCCCACGCACTCACACACACCCACACACACCACACGCACTCGCACACCCCACGCACTCACACACACCCACACACACCACACGCACTCGCACACCCCACGCACTCACACACACACACCCACTCACACACACCTTCCCAGAATGTTCTGAGAACTTTTCCTGTTGGCTGTAATTTCATCTGTCTACCCAGGTAACACATTTAGGTTATAAAAATGTTGTGGGAACATTGTTTTGAAAGAAGTTCAAATGACCAGGTCTTTTGTTGTGATTAGAATGTTATGTAAAAGTTACAAAAATGTTTCTTACAACATTCCACTAACTTTATTTACACCCAAAATGTAACATTTATGTTTAATCTAACGTTTTCTTGTAACATTGAGAACTTTCATCAAGTACAAATAACACCATGAGCACGTTCAAAGTTCTAAGAATGTTTCCTCTCAACATTATGAGAATGTACATGAAATATTACACTTTTTTTCAACTGTGTGTAAAGTTTTGAAAAAAAAAAATAAGAGGCAAAGTTTTGAAAATGTAAGCAGCTGAAAAAAACTGTAATAGCTATAAGAAAGTTCCATGAACATTACTTTAAGAAAGTTTTGACCTAACATTTATATAACATTTAAAAAGCATTCGTGAAAGTTGTGAGAGCGTTCCCTGTCAGCCGGGTGACTCCCAAGCTTTTGCAAGAAACAAGTATCTGACAACATTAGCCTTTCGAGTGTGTGTTGGTCTCTAACAGCAGCTGTCAGTGTGTTTACCACGTGTGCGTGTGTGTGTGTGAGTGTGTGTACTGGTATATGTTTTATGGTATATGGTTTATGAGGACACAAATGTGTATAATGACATGGGTACTACTTCCTGTGTCCCCGTAAAACAAAAGGCTTAAAAAACATACAAAACGGTGTTTTATGAAATTCAAAAGTTGCCAGTAGTTTCCTGTGAGGGGTAGGTTTAGGGGTAGGTTTAGGTGTAGGGCAATAGCACATAGTTTGTAGAGTATGAAAACCATTACGCCTATGGAGAGTCCCTGTAAACCACAAATGCAAGTATGTGTGTGTGCGCAGGTATCGTGCGGTCGCGTCGTGGAGTCGTGTTCAGGGTGTGGGGATCCCTGTGTCCACGGCTGTGGAGATCCTGTGTATCTGGCTGCTGGCTGTAGTTCTGGCCGTTCCTGAGGCCATCGGCTTCAAAATGGTCAGCTTCGACTACAACAACGTCACCATCCGCACCTGCATGCTGAAACCAGAGACGCCCTTCATGACGGTAACAACACGCCACAGCTACGGACATTAATTATGTTCCTTCATAACGGTTATGCTACACACTCAGATCGCACTCGATTCACTACTCTTCCATAAAGCTTCATTATCAGTCAGTTCTGCAGTGTGTGACCAGGACACTAATCTGCATGTAAAGAACATTTCCACCAGTACTTAGTCTACTACTTTTATTCTAGTTTCAATATAAGGACAAGCATTTCAAGTTATGTCTGTGTTTTCACATTTTCAGGCAATTTATAAACAGAAAGTAGTTCAAAGGCTCTTTTTGAATATTTTTAGAGATTTTAAGAGACAAGATCTATAAAATATATTAGATGTAAAAAATTATTATATTAGATAATAGATCATTCATAATTAGATAATTCAGATTATATAAGTATATGATATAGAATTACATAACATTATATAAAATATTTCAGATGTGTGTGTATATATATATATATATATATATAATTTTACGTTATATATGATTCTATATTTTGACTGAAGATATAGAATTATTTATTTAGTATTTTATACAATTATATAAAATATATTTACACATATATATGTATAAAATAACATCAATATAAAACAATATTTATGCGAGTATATTTTTTAATTAACTTATATTTATATAATCATCACATATATTATTATTATATGAATATATTTATTATATAAACATAATATAATAAGAATATAGAAATAAGATTCTTTCATAAGATTTTATATTGTTCTATAGTTTTTTTAAATATATAAATGTCTTATATAGCTGTACTGAGTAAATATTATTTGTAAAATATTTTAGTTAGCTGTATTTTCATAATTAAAACGAGTAACTAAATGTTCACGTAACTAAAACATTCATCAATGTTTTAATGCATTTATATTTTTGATTTGTTTATGAAATGAGGAATTGTTGTGTGTTGGCGGTGTGTGTGTGTGTGTGTGTGTGTGTGTGTAGTTCTACAGGGACGTGAAGGTCTGGTGGTTGTTTGGCTTTTATTTCTGCGTGCCGCTGGTTTGTACGGCCGTCTTCTACACGCTCATGACCTGTGAGATGCTGAGCAACAGGAAGGGCAGCCTAAAGTTTTCTCTGAGCGAACACCTCAAGCAGGTGAAGAACTGAACATTCAACGCTGAATGACCCAGCCGAGACCATCGTTAACTAATGAGTGTGTGTGTGTGTGTGCGCGCGCAGAGGCGTGAGGTGGCGAAGGCCGTGTTTTCTCTGGTGCTGATCTTCACTCTCTGCTGGTTTCCGCTGCATCTCAGTCGCATCCTGAAGAAGATGGTTTATTTTCAGAACGACGTCGGCCGCTGCGACCTGCTGAAGTAACACACACACACACACACACACACACACACTCTCTCACTCACACACACACACTCTCTCTCTCTCACTCACACACACACACACACACACACACACACAACACTGTTATTGCAGTATCACTGAGACACTAATATAGTTTTTATTACAATTTTAAATTCATGTTTTCATTTTATTTTCAGTTAAAGTTTAAGTAATTATTGTGTTTTTGTCGTTATTATTAGTTTTTAATTTAAATACGTATATATCGTTTTTATTTCTCAACTCAACTTTATTTATACAGTACTTTCAAAGCCATACAAATGAACCAAGGTGCTGTTTTGTTCCCCTGACATAAAAATAAATAAATAAATCCAAACACTTGTTTTATTTCAGTTAGTTGCCAAGGCAACATTTCTTATTTTCATTTAGTTTAACTTGATGTACTGAAATAAGTAAAACTAATAAAAAAATTTAATTATTATTTTAATTTTTTCATTAATAAAAATTAAACTTATTAATAAAACTTAACTTTTAAAGTTAGACTAACACAATCTCATAAATGCATGACAAAATGTTAAAATAACTTTAAAAATGTTTACTAACATACAAATCAATTTTTATTAATGAAAAATGAATACAATTTAAACAGTAATGAAACTTAAATTTTAAAGTTGGACTATAATAATACTATAAGAGCATGAATGTAACAAAATTAAAAAATGTAAAACATTTAATATATACTTACAAACATACAAGTAAAACAAATGTATTAATAAAAAATTAATAAAAATTAAACGTATTAATAAAACAACTTTTAAATTTGGACTAAAACAATACTATTTCAAGTAACATTTTTTTCATGATTTTATTTTTAATTAATTATAATAACACTGACACACACAAAGCCATAGCATATTTTATAGTAATGCATCAATGAAATTAGAAGAAACATATTCCTGTAGCTGGTTCTGCAGAAATGCAATTATTTGATGTGTATTGTAATTTTGCAACGTTTATCTTTATGGATTTTCACCTGTTTGTGTTGTTGTTTTTGTGTCTTCAGTTTCTTGCTGGTGTTTGATTACCTGAGTATAAATCTGGCCACCATCAACTCCTGCATCAATCCCATAATCCTCTACTTCGTCAGCAAGAAGTTCAAGAACTGCTTCAGGGTACAGAGAGCTGTAATGAGTGTGATAACAGAGCGCAGTGATGCTGTGAGGATCTAATCTCTGCTGTCTCTCTGTCTCTGTCAGTCGTGTTTGTGTTGCTGGTGTTATCCGGCCGGCTCGCTCTTGAGCAGCGTTGTGCCCCTGAACGGAACCAGCTTCCAGTACAAGAGCCCTGATCAGAACGGCTTATCGGACCGGACCGCGCTGCGCAAGGACAGCTACAACTGACCTCAACCACACACACGCTGTTTTAACCCTGACTACAGAGATATCAACATAAATATTTATATTATTATATCTACTGCACTGGTTAACTGTGTGCATACTATTATGACAAAGAAAGTGCATCTTTTTTGGTGTATGCATCATATTTTGTAAACATAAACATGCGTTTTCAATGCGCTGTAACTGATTTCAGATGTTTCACAAACTACCCAGCTGACAGAACGTTCTGGAAAGGTTCTCTCAAAGTTCTCTCAAAACATTCATTCAAAGTTATCTGGTCTTTAATAACGTTCTCAAAACGTTCTCGCAAAAACGTTATTTGTACACAAAAAAAGCATCGTTCGTTGAACATTTTTTCAGAAACGTTTTAGTCGGACGTGCGTATAATGTTTTTTAAAAATGTTACACAAACTAATAACATTCTCAAAATTTAGCACAGAAACATTATTTATACACTGTTCATGGAATGTTCTCAGAACGTTCTGGAAAGGTTCTCTCAAAGTTATAAACAAACGTTCTTCTAGTAACGTTTATAGAATGTTCATTGAAAGTTATCTGGTCTTTAATTACATTCTCAAAACATTCTCGCAAAAACGTTATTTATACGTCATTCATGGAACGTGTTTTCTGAAATGTTTTAGTTGGACATTCGTCTAACTTTTTTTTAATTGTTAGACTAATAATGTTCTCAAAGCATTAGCACAAAATTTTTTTTTTTTTCTGAAACGTCTTAGTTGAGCATTCAACGTTTTTTTGAAATGTTAGACAAACTAATAACATTCTCAAAATGTTAGCACAAAAAATAACATCATATCATTCGTTGAACATTTTTTCAGAAACGTTTTAGTCGGACGTTCGTATAATGTTTTTTTTTTAAATGTTAGACAAACTAATAATATTCTCAAAATTTAGCACAGAAACTTTATTTATACACTGTTCATGGAATGTTCTCAGAACGTTCTGGAAAGGTTCTCTCAAAGTTATAAACAAACGTTCTTCTAGTAACGTTTATAGAATGTTCATTGAAAGTTATCTGGTCTTTAATTACATTCTCAAAACATTCTCGCAAAAACGTTATTTATACGTCATTCATGGAACGTGTTTTCTGAAATGTTTTAGTTGGACATTCGTCTAACTTTTTTTAAATTGTTAGACTAATAATGTTCTCAAAGCATTAGCACAAAAAAAAATTTTTTTTCTGAAACGTCTTAGTTGAGCATTCAACGTTTTTTTGAAATGTTAGACAAACTAATAACATTCTCAAAATGTTAGCACAAAAAAAACATCATATCGTTCGTTGAACATTTTTTCAGAAACGTTTTAGTCGGACGTTCGTATAATGTTTTTTTTTTAAATGTTAGACAAACTAATAATATTCTCAAAATTTAGCACAGAAACGTTATTTATACACTGTTCATGGAATGTTCTCAGAACGTTCTGGAAAGGTTCTCTCAAAGTTATAAACAAACGTTCTTCCTGTAACGTTTATAGAATGTTCATTCAAAGTTATCTGGTCTTTAATGACATTCTCGCAAAAACGTTATTTATACGTCATTCATGGAACGTGTTTTTTAAAACGTTTTAGTTGGACATTCAGCTAACTTTTTTTTAATTGTTAGACTAATAATGTTCTCAAAACATTAGCACAAAAAAGTTTTTTTTTCTGAAACGTCTTAGTTGAGCATTCAAGGTTTTTTGAAATGTTACACAAACTAATAATATTCTCAATTTAGCACAGAAACATTATTTATACACTGTTCATGGAATGTTCTCAGAACGTTCTGGAAAGGTTCTCTCAAAGTTATAAACAAACGTTCTTCTAGTAACGTTTATAGAATGTTCATTGAAAGTTATCTGGTCTTTAATGACATTCTCAAAACATTCTCGCAAAAACGTTATTTATACGTCATTCATGGAACGTGTTTTCTGAAATGTTTTAGTTGGACATTTGTCTAACTTTTTTTTAATTGTTAGACTAATAATGTTCTCAAAGCATTAGCACAAAAAAGTTTTTTTTTCTGAAACGTCTTAGTTGAGCATTCAACGTTTTTTGAAATGTTAGACAAACTAATAACATTCTCAAAATGTTAGCACAAAAAAAACCATATCGTTCGCGGAACGTGTTTTCTGAAATGTTTTAGTTGGACATTCGTCTAACGTTTTTTTAATTGTTAGACTAATAATGTTCTCAAAGCATTAGCACAAAAAAGTTCTTTTTTCGGAAACGTCTTAGTTGAGCATTCAACGTTTTTTGAAATGTTAGATAAACTAATAACATTCTCAAAATGTTAGCACAAAAAAAACATCGTTCGTTGAACATTTTTTCAGAAACGTTTTAGTCGGACGTTCATATAAATTTTTAAAAAAAAATGTTACACAAACTAATAACATTCTCAAAATTTAGCACAGAAACGTTATTTATACACTGTTCATGGAATGTTTTTTTTTTCGGAAACGTTTAGTTGGACATTCATCTAAAAAAATTTAAATGTTAGACAAACTAATAATGTTCTCAAAACATTCACTCAAAAAAGTTATTTATACATCATTCATTGAATGTGTTTTCTGAATTGTTAGACTAACTTATAATGTTCTCAAAACATTAGCACAAAAAAGTTATTTTTACATTGTTCGTGGAATTTTTTCTCTGAAACGTCTTAGTTGAATGTTCACCTAATGTTTTTTGAAATGTTAGACAAATTAATAACATTCTCAAAATGTTAGCACAAAAAAAACGTTTACTTACGGAAACGTTTTAGTCAGACGTTCGTATAACATTTTATTAAATGTTACACAAACTAATAATATTCTCAAAATTTAGCACAGAAACGTTATTTACATTGTTCATAGAACGTTTTTTGAAACGTTTAGTTGGACATTTATCTAAAAAATTTTTTTTTTAAATGTTAGACAAACTAATAATGTTCTCAAAACGTTCACTCGAAAACGTTATTTATACATCATTCATTGAATGTGTTTTCTGAAATGTTTTAGTTGGTCATTCATCTAACTTTTTTTTTTAATTGTTAGACTAACAATGTTCTCAAACCATTAGCACAAAAAAGTTATTTTTACAATGTTCATGGAACGTTTTTTCTATTTTTAGATGTTACAGCTAGCTTGTTTCAGAGAACATTCAAAAGTAACATTCACATGTTTGCAAAATTATAAAATGGAATGTTAGTGAAAATTCTTTATAACTTAATTGGAAACGTTAGTAAAACGTTCTTCGAATGTAGTTTTGTTAGCTGGGTAGCCACAGAATTAAGGCTCATTCACAGCAAAGAAGATAACTATAATTATAAAGTTTTGATAATCATTCTAATTCTATGAGAATAGTGAAGTCCACAACTACATTTATAATGATAATGACAAAGAGGAACATTATCGTTCTCTTTGAATGATTTTTTAAAGCTGATGAACGATAAAAACATTGACAGTTTATCAAAATCCAGAGTCGAAAGATTTCGCACATTTAATGCGTGCACGGGCTTAAAATAAACAGAATGTTATTGTTTGTTGATGTGGACGCTAAAATAGTTATCGCTTTAGTTATCGTTCTTGATGTGAACGTGCCTTCTGGCATCGAACGCCACGCCCCCTCTCTGAATGCCCGCCCCTCGAAGCCGTCTCAGCCAACCAGATGCCAGCAAACCTGAAAACGCAAAACGACTGACAGCCAGAGAGCGTTTGTGATTGGTCAGTTTTCAGATATATTAGATCTGCAGAAGAGTGATATGTTGGAAAGTTTGCCACTACAGGATGAGAATTCATTTGGTTTAAAAACACAACACTTTTGTCTGAACTCAACATAAACCACACGACATATTAAACCAATGCCATTACATACGAATTTTGGTTTTGAATAAATGGTTTTGAGCGCCTATCAATCTGCCGAAGTCACGTGACTTTTAGTAAACGAGCCTGAAAGCGAATCTACGAACATATAAGTGACCCTGGAGCACAAAAGCAGTGTTAAGTCGCTGGGGTATATTTGTAGCAATAGCCAACAATACATTGTATGGGTCAAAATTATCAATTTTTCTTTTATGCCAAAAATCATTAGGATATTAAGTAAAGATCATGTTCCATGAAGATATTTTGTAAATTTCCTACCGTAAATATATCAAAACTTAATTTTTGATTAGTAATATGCATTGCTAAGAACTTCATTTGAACAACTTTAAAGATGATTTTCTCAATATTTAGATTTTTTTGCACCCTCAGATTCCAGATTTTCAAATAGTTGTATCTCAGCCAAATATTGTCCTATCCTAACAAACCATACATCAATGGAAAGCTTATTATGACTGGTTTTGTGGTCCAGGGTCACATATGGTTTTAACCTGATCCCAAATCAGTTTTATAACGGAGACATTGTTAACGACACATATTTGCCTCCATAAAACATGCCTAAAAAGTAACAAAATTATACAGAAACTTTGTATGTGATGGTATTTGATGATTAGTATATAATATTGAATGGATTACACTTTCAGTTGGTTTGTAAACTGCGTTTTTATGCATGTTTGGAGTGAGTTTTCGTCGCATTTACACCGTTTTCTTCGGAACAGCTTAATCATTTTGCAAAAAGCGGTTTAACTGAGTTTCGAAAGGCTCAGTTCCTCATATCACTACTGTAAACAAAATATGTCAGATTTACAGCCATTTACATTGGGAACAATGGCGATGAAGCGGTTTACTCACATCACTTATCCTCAATGAACTTGTTTGCAGCAGAAAGGTTTATCAACATTATTAGCCCCTTTGTTAATCGGGGTCAGTTTCGCGCCACTTTCTTTCATTGTTTACGTTCAACTGCGTTAACGCGTCGACGTAAACGTGACGCAGGCCTTATTTACATGGCGTTTTTCAGCTATAGCGCCGGCTAGTGTTTCCCTATAAAGTGTAGAAACTGTAGAATTAAGTAACATTAAATCACATATCGAACTTTATATGTACACATAACACTTTCTATGATGGCTGTTTTGCTTTATATACAGCCATGTTGTTTAAATTAGTAGCTCTGAAAACAGCTGTGAGAAGACTTTAAAATGAAATGCCCTTTTTGTTTAAGATGTTGTAAATAAATATTTGATGTGTGTTTATCAAAGTCAGAGTGTGTGGTCTGTTGGTTGTGAAACTGTCAACTTCAGAGACAGGATTATGGTTTTATTCCCACATAATTGACTTTCCATAGTGGAAAGCGGAAAGTTTCTAACATGAGATCGGTTTTAATTACTCACGAAACAACCACCGTTTTTTTTACTGAATGTGTTTCGTGTTGGAAAAGTATAGTAATCGGTTGTTAAATATTATTAATATTAATAAAAATATCCATTTACTTTTTTTTTCATTCATTGTCATTTTGTCAGATCTAATGTATTGATTAAAACAATTAGACAAACATTCTGTGCAAATAAAGAGCCATATATTTCAGATTTATTTATATTTAACATTTAGATTTAAATAGAAGATTTCGATTTAGATGAAACATTTAGCCTAGATTTAGCGTTTATTTTTATATAGTAGCCTAATATAGTAATAAAAAATAGCATAACGCTTATTTAGGTAAATCTTGCAAAATGTATTTATTTTGGTAGTTAAATCTGACAGAATTTGACCAGTTTTTCTTACACATTTTATTTTACAAACGGCGCCCCGTAGTTTTGTAACTAAATAGAACGTAAATAACAACAACAACAAAAATACATAATTTATACATGTAAGATGACATCTAATAACGGAAGATCGCAAATTTACAAATCCTACTACAGCGAGGGCTTAGCTCATGAATATTGATTACGTAATGTGACGTCCGCCCGATAGAGCTAACTGATTGGCTGAAACGCAATTTTAGTAACTGAACGCCCACATAGCAAGGAACGAATCCTGTGGCTATGAATATTAATTAGATTACGTCTGTCCGGCTGTTTGGTAAATCGCGAAAGTTCGGCTCATGAACAGAAAAATATAGTGTATGATAGAAATTTGTATATTTTATGTACTTTTTTATACAGAAAATGAACATTTGAATTATAAAAAACAACATATTATACATTTGTTTATTTTGTTAGGAAAATTCCATATACATAAGAAGACGTGGGCTCAATGCAAACCAAATTTTGCACATTTTATAAATGACTTTAAATTATATGTAAATCTCTTAGAACAAACAAAAAACAAACAAAAAAAAGCATTGAAAACATGTAATGCTCTGAAAGCATTGAACTTTATGTAATTTTCTTCCTGTTTTTATTTATTTTTTTCTCTGGAAGCTAATAATGTTAATTTGATAATGTGATTATGTAATACCTCATGTTCTTGTGGCATTTAATCAATAAAGCATAAAAAAAAGAAAATAAAGTTCGGCTCATGAATATTTAATTACTGTACGTGCTCTGACGCTCCAAGCAGGTTACCAAGCAACGTCAGCCTCTCCTGTTTAATATTCATGAGCTAAGCCTTCTGAATAGTAGGGTTCGTGATTTGGCCGCTGCGGTAATCACGCCCTGTTAGTGAGCAGCGTCCTCGGCTCGCTCGAGCGCGTCGGTGTGAGGCTCGGCTCGGTGTCGGTGAAGATGCCGGTCTGGCGGCGCTGGATCCGGCCGCTCGCCGTGCTGCTGTTCGCGGTCGTGCTCGCGGTGGCGCTGCCGCTGTGCGCGTGGGAGCTGCGGAGAGCCGAGGTGATGCTTCATTAAACATCATCAAATTCATTAAAACCTCATTAGAGCTGCACACTGACACCATAACATGCTGCTGTTTCTGTTAGAGGATGATGAACTACAGGATGATTTATAGACACGTCAAGTTTACTGTAAATATTGTGTGTATAGTTTATATTATGTATTTATATTTGTTGTAATATACCGTATTTTGTGCAGTTTATCTATCTATCTAGCTATCGTAAATATTGTATATATAGTTTATTTTCTATCTATCTATACTGATGTGTGTGTGTTGTTGTAGGTGGGCACACACACTAAAGCGTGGTTCATTGCAGGTGTGTTTGTGTGTTTGACGATCCCTATTTCACTGTGGGGGATTTTACAACATCTGGTTCACTACACACAACCTGAGCTACAGAAACCCATCATCAGGTATCTGACAGACACACACACACACACACACACACACACACACACACACACACTCACTCACACACAAACGCACACACACAAACGCACACAGACTCACACACACTGACAGACTCACACACACACATACTCACGCACACACATACTCACACACACAAACACACACACACACACACACTCTCACTCACACACAAACGCACACACACAAACGCACACACACTCACACAAACACACACACACACAAACACACGTGTCCTATAAATGAGAATCAGCAGATAACATACAGATAATAGCAGATAATAACTCATAATGGTGTGTGTGTTGTTCCAGGATTCTCTGGATGGTTCCCATATACAGCTTAGACAGCGTGAGTAACAAACACGAATCCCGAGACACTGCTGCTTATTGTCAGGAGAACAATGTCCTACAGCTGCGTTTGTGTGTCTTGCAGTGGATCGCGCTAAAATACCCCAAGATCGCCATCTATGTGGACACGTGTCGGGAATGCTACGAGGCGTACGTCATCTACAACTTCCTGATGTTCCTGCTGAACTTCCTGGAGAATCAGTATCCCAGTCTGGTGCTCATGCTGGAGGTGCAGGAGCAGAGACCCCTGCTGCCCCCTTTCTGCTGCTGCCCACCCTGGGCCATGGGAGAGTGAGCACACACACACACACACATACACACACACTCACTCGCGCACACACACACACACACACAGGTTTGTTTTTATGTTTTATGGGGATTATTTTGAACCTTCAAATTTTTACTTGGTGAAATATTTTCGATCTTGACATAACTTTATTTATTTATTTATTTTTCAAATTTCTCATATATTTGAGGGTGTTTTTCCAAGACTCAAACGAGTAATTCACCCAAAAATGAACATTTGCTGAAAGTTTACTCACCCTCAGTTCATCCAAGATTAGGATGAGTTTGTTTCTTCATCAGATCTGGAGAAGAAAACGAAGCGTTTGAGAGAGGCGGGGCATAGAGGACCTACAATAATGTACAGTATTTGAAAAATAATGTGTTTTTTGAACATTAAAGCATGTCAACATATTCTGTTACAGCAAATACACAAAATAATTATCTTTAAAAAAGCATCATATGACCCCTTTAAATGATTTTTTGAGAACCACTGATCTAGATCAATAACAAACAATAATATCATGTATATTGATGGATAAACATATATATATATATAACCAGACAACCGGTTTCTTTGTCTCTGTGCTGTAGTGTGTGTCAGCTGTGTGGAGTTTATGATGAAGGTAATTTCAGCTTCAGAAACGCCTGGACGTACCTCATTATCGTCAACAACGCCTCACAGCTGGTAACCAACATTTATTCATTTATAAATATAATTTATATTATAGTCACAGACTGTGGCACTAAGAAAATGTATCAATGCATTGCTGATACTGACACATGCTAATGGTGTAATATAGTAATTATATGCTATAGTAGTCAAATGTCTGGAAGTACTATAAGGAAGATTGGTTTGATTTGCTTGTCTTGTGTTGAGTTTGCGATGTACTGCCTGTTGCTGTTCTACCGAACGCTGAGAGAAGAGCTGAAGCCTCTGAGACCCGTCGGCAAGCTGCTCTGCGTCAAACTCGTCGTCTTCGTGTCCTTCTGGTACGTTCATGTTCACACTCACACTCACTAATGCAGCGGAGAGAATCTGAAGCTGATGTTTGACAGCTGTTTAGTGACACTAAACTAGTATAATAATAATATACAATTCAATTCAAATCAATTCAAGTTTATTGCGCTTTTCACGATACAAATCGTTACAAAGCAGCTTTACAGAAAATGTGAAGTTTCTACATTATATTTAGGAGTAGGTTATTAGTGGTGACTATGATGGAAATGTACAGTAAGAATCATGCAGTTAGTTTCAAATTGCATGTAATCAAACAGACAGTGAACACTATTAACTGCAATGATTATATGTTGCGATTAAACTTATAGCAAAATTTGGTAGTTTTGTATGTTGTTCCAGGGTTGGCATCATCCGAGGTCTTCTGTGGGGGGTATAATATAATACTGAATTTAAAGACAGATGGTTGCTAGGGTGTTGCTATGTGGTACTAGGTGGTTGCTAGGGTGTTTCTAGGCAGTTTGTAGGATTTTCTGGATGGTTGCTAGGGTGTTGTTAGGCAGTTGGTTGCAAGGCAAGTGATAGGTGTTATAGATGGTTGCTAGGGCGTTGCTATGTAGTACTAGGCAGTTGCTAGGGTGCTTCTAAGCAGTTTGTGTGGTTGGGTGTTTGTTAGGGTCTTGTTAGGCAGTTGGTTGCCAGGCAGGAGATTGGTGTTATAGATGGTTGCTAGGGCGTTGCTATGTGGTACTATGCGGTTGCTAGGGTGTTTCTAGTCAATTTGTAGAGTTTACTGGGTGGTTGCTAGGCTGTTGTTAGGCAGTTGGTTGCAAGGCAGGTGATAGGTGTGATAGATGTTGCTATGGTGTTGTTAGGCAGTTGCTATGATGTTCAGTGTTTGCAATGGAGTTTATAGGTATAATAGATGGTTGTTAGATTGTTAGTGGGAGGCTAGGGTATTGCTAGGCAGGGGTGTCTTTGTGGTTGCTAGGGTGTTGCTAGGATGTTCTCAGTGTTTGCAGTGGAGTTGATATTTATAATAGATGGCTGTTAGATTGTTAGTTGGAGGCTAGGTTATTGCTAGACAGGGGTTTCTTTGTGGTTGCTAGGGTGAAACATGCAAGAATGAGAAATAAAGCGTGGGACGTTGTATGTGACGTGTAGTTTTGTGTTGTAGGCAGGCTGTGCTGATCGCTCTGCTGGTGAAGGTCGGAGTGATTTCAGACAAACACACTTGGGAGTGGGACAGCGTGGAAGCTGTAGCCACGGGACTACAGGTGAACATACACACTCTCTCTCACACACACACACCTTTATCCAGCTTTTTACATCAGGATATGTCATAGACATGAGATATTTTGTTAGTTTCTGAAATAAGAGGACATGATTTAGTCTTTTGATGAACTGTCTGTGTGTTTAATTGTGTGTGTATGTGTGATAATGTGTGTGTGTGTGTGTGTGTGTGTGTGCAGGACTTCATCATCTGTCTGGAGATGTTTCTGGCAGCAATCGCTCATCACTACAGTTTCAGCAGTCGTCCGTATGTTCATGAGGATGATGAAGGCTCATGCTTCGACTCGCTCCTCGCCATGCTGGACGTCTCAGACATACGCGCAGACATCGCAGAGCAAGTGCGCAACGCCGGTGAGAACGATCACGGACACGTCTAATGCTGTTTATAATTACTAGCTTTATATAACTATTCATATATAGACTGTTATACTATACATATTTTTTAAATAAAAATTGTAATAATATAAATACAATTATTATTGAAATTATTAAATAATACAAATGTATTTAAACTTTTTTCCTTTTGAAAACTGTACACAATTACCAACAATTTCTGTCTTGCAAGTAGCTAATAGCTAATAAATGTCACATGGGCATTTTTATTATAAGCATGTGCTAGGCAGTTACTAAGGTTTCCTGGGTGGTTGCTAGGGTGTTACTAGTTGCAAGGGTGTTCTCCATGATTGCAAGGCAGCTGATGGTCACTAGGGCATTGCTATGTGGTTGCTTGGCCGTTGCTTGGCCGTTGCTAGGGTGTTGCTAAGCTGTTTGTAGAGTCTTCTGGGTGGTTGCTAGGGTGTTGCTGGGGTGTTACTAGTTGCAAGGGTGTCCTCCATGGTTGCAAGGCAGCTGATGGTTGCTAGGGCGTTGCTATGTGGTTGCTAGGCAGTTGCTAGGGTGTTGCTGGGGTGTTCCTTGATGCAAGGGTGTTTTCCATGATTTCAAGGCAGCTGATGGTCACTAGGGCGTAACTATGTGGTTGCTTGGCAGTTGCTAGGGTGTTGCTAAGCAGTTTGTAGAGTTTTCGGGGTGGTTGCTAGGGTGTTGCTGGGGTGTTACTAGTTGCAAGGGTGTTCTCCATGTTTGCAAGGCAGCTGATGGTCGCTAGGGCGTTGCTATGTGGTTACTAGGCAGTTGCTAGGGTGTTGCTGGGGTGTTCCTAGATGCAAGGCAGCTGATGGTTGCTAGGGTGTTGCTATGTGGTTACTAGGCAGTTGCTAGGGTGTTGCTGGGGTGTTCCTAGATGCAAGGGTGTTCTCCATGGTTGCAAGGCAGCTGATGGTCGCTAGGGCATTGCTATGTGGTTGCTAGGGTGTTGCTAAGCAGTTTGTAGAGTTTTCTGGGTGGTTGCTAGGGTGTTCTCAGTGGTTTCTAGACAGTTGCTAGGTATCAATATGCTGTCCTATGTCAATTTGTCTCCAGCTTTTGTGATCTCATGATCGCGGAACACAACGCAACATTTTTTTTGTCATGATTCGTCATTTAACGTCTGTGCGGTTTGTGTGCTCTGCAGGCCGTACGGTGTTCGGTCGTCCCCGTAAGCTGTTCTTTGGCTCTGAAGCGGATGTTGTTCAGGGTGAACACACCGGTCTCCTCGCTGGGACTTCCCACGAGCGCCACTCAGTCCCCGCCTCCCCGCAGGGGCGGTACCAGGGGCTGGGCTACACGGACACGCCCCACTCAGTCTCCGCCCCCGCCGGCTTCACATCCTCCTCCTGGGAGAGTGACAGCGACTCGGGGCCTGCGGCGGCCAATCAGAGCACAGGAACAGAGTCCTAGCAAACGGTGCGGTGAGGCTACGGGATAATAAAGACACTCAGACGTACAGTGAAGACCTGTTCACATCTGGATAATGCAAACAGAAATTATTCAAAATAATCTCCATTTCAGTCTCCATGAAAACTTTACCTGAATTGAAGTAAAACAGCATTTTATTCAACGAAGCTACTGGAACCAATGTTATTGTAGTATTATTTATATACTATACAGTTTTCAATAATATTTTGAATTAGCTTTCATTTTTAAATACTTTGAGTTTTCTTTAAAAACATTTTTTTATATTTAGACATTTTATGTGCTTTTGTCATTTTCAGTAGTTATTTTAAAGGGGTCATATGATGCAATTTAATTTTTTCCTTTCTCTTTGGAGTGTTACAAGCTCTTGGTGCATAAAGAAGATCTGTAAAGTTGCAAAGACTAAAGTCTCAAATCCAAAGAGATATTCTTTATAAAAGTTAAGAGTTAGCCACACCTACCTATTTGTTTAATTTAAATTTATTTCAATGTTAGATTTGATTTATTTCCAGTTGGTAATTTCAATTAGTTGCCAAAGCAACATGTCAAATTTTAGTTTACTTTAAATTTTAATCTAATATTTGTATTTTATTTTTGCTTTATTTTAACAAGTGTTCCTAATAGTTTTAGTTTAATAATAACCCTGTATCTGTTCTGATTTTTATATTATAATTTATTATTTTATTATTAATTTGTCATTTTTAATTATTATTATTACTATTATCATTATTATTATGCCATAAAAGTGTCAGAAACCGTAAGGCCCAGACTCCAAAAACTCCCAACACTAGGTGGCACTATAATAAAAACATAGTTGTTGTGTTTTTGAAATCTTGTACCAAAAAATGTGTGCTTGATGTGAAAAAATCTTTACACAAACCCATAAAATACAGACCTGTTCTTATTCTGTGCAAGTATTGTAAACATTGTGTTATGTTTTAACTCAGTCACTAATAATATAAAAGTGCTGGCCTGATTCCTGTTAAATTGTTTAATATATTGCCATGTATACATATATAAATTATTTAATGTTGTGGCTCAAGAGCTTTTATAATATTGATAATCATGTTATGGAATTCAAATGTGTGTGAATATATTGTTTTTCCATTAAACTGCTGATATTGTTCTTTTACATTATAAATACATATCACACATACACATATAAATACTGTATACACCACAAATGGAGTTTTAATTTACCACCAGGGGGCAGAATAATATTACAAAGGCTCATATTAAAAACAAACCATATTTCTGTTGTCCTCCTCGTGACTGGTTGATCTGTAAAAATATGTGTACAAAACTTTACATTGACGTCATAACAGGTCATAAAACATTTCAAAAAGCTTCTTCTGCTTTAGTGTTAACAAATTTCAAATGTACAAATGCACAGCAAAATAAGGCTTGAAATCCTGCTCATGTTATTTTGAGTTACATTTGAGTTATTCAATTCTTCTCTTCAGATTTTGGTTCTAGAGTTCTCAGGCATTTGTAGCTGAAAAAGACAGAATTTAAAGTGACTGCAGTGTCGGTTTTATCTAAAAATGATCTGAAAATGTTGTAAGCAGCGTCACGTAACAAACACACAGTGGATTAAATCTCACATCGGCTTCAATTCAGTATTGAGATAAATCAGGTGGACAAAAATGTTACCCCTGATTATTCAGTGGAATACAACATGAAACATTTTCAGAAATAATTTTTGTGAAGTGCTTACAGTCAACATGAAATCAAAATAATCAAATCTGCTGATTTATTAATTCATGTATGGTGCATGTCTTCATAATATTTTAGCATAATACTTTCTCCACTTCTATACCAATTTTATCTTCATATAGAGATACTTACAAAATGCTCTGCATTTTCTCATTGAATATCCTCAGAAATTTTCACATTATGGAAGTAAAATGTATTGTAAATGCCATTTCGTGTTGACTTTAAATATCACTAGTTTCCTGACAAGTTGTCTGAACGTTATGTTGTTTTGAGAAGCTTCACACACACACAAATAACATACTACAGGTTTAAAATTGGCTGATAAACAACTAATTACAGTGATTCATCTATACACAAATAATAAAATAACAACCCATATAATATAAAACACAAAGTCTGAATCAACAAAAAACAAAAATGGTTTGCTTGTTAAAGCAACAGTCCAGGCAAAAATGAAAATGTGCTTGGGAATATACTGCATGAGTCACGTTGACTGATATTATTGTGCTTTTTTGTCCATTTTAGAGCTTGATAGGTGTTTTCTTAAATTAAAATCTGGTGATTCTTTGCAAACTCTGAGTAAATGTGAGTGTTTATTTTGAGGTGAACTGTTCCTTTAAAAGAGGCATTATCAAGAAGACTGTGAACTGTGCTGTGTGTTTCTGTAAAATGAGCTAAAAGACACAGAAATAAGACATCTGACCCTCTCAATACATCAAATTATACATCAGTGAAGGTTCACTTGCACAAATTAGGTCCGGATCTCTTTAATAGCAGTTACAAACCGTACCAGAGTTCACATAAACTGTAAACCAGAACCTCCAAACCAAACAAATAAATCTTCTGTGGCTTCAAGTGCATGTTTGAAGCTTTGAGCTCATCTGTATGCTAATGAATTTAACACTAATGTGCTTGTCGGTCATTTTTGACCAATTCTATTGTGTTTAAGCCTCCTGTTGTGTTCAAAAACGGAGTACAGCAGCTTTAGAGTTTGTTCGTCAAATTGACCCACAGTGGTTTTCATGCAATTTGTCAAAAATAAACACTATGAAAAACACTAAAGATTAATGTAAAACAGAACACCTCTACTGTAGATGGTCAGAGACTAAAAAATATAAAATATGTGAGAAATGTAATAATTCCCATCTATTTTTATAGTGTTATTTCTATTGTGTTAGTGGTCAATTTGACCACATATTTTGATATTTTCATGTTTCACAGACACAAAATACGTTTTTGTTATTGTAGGAGGAAATAACTACAAGTATAAACAGTACCTAACATTATTTGTACTTGGTGTAAGTACTTTTTATTGCTATTTGTACCTCCCAATGTTTTATTGTTATGTCCTTTTCTCAAACACTTGTGAGGGTAGAATGAGTTTCTCACACCTTTTCAGTGCTGCAACAGACTAGTAATTGAGATCCAAAAAAACTTACAAAAACAACTTTTTTGTCGAAAAAACTCGATTCCATTTTTTGATTGTGAAATCCAACTAGATAAAGTTCTTCCGTTGTTTACCGGCCTATTTAATTTTTTTCAGATTGTTGATTTCTGGCAAATTGCATAGAATCCAGTGGGGCTCAGTTTAACCCCAACACAAAAGTCCTAATAAACTCTGTACAGCCTTTCCAAAACACATCTATGTGCCGAAACTTTGCATGCATATGCATGACCGTAAAAGAAAAATATTCACCAAATTTTAAGAAGAAATAAACATTTTAACCAGTATTTTGAGCAGTTTGAATATTTGAGCTTGGGTCAATTTGACCCAACATAAAAGTAGTAACAATTCTCAGCACAGCCTTTCCAAAAGACACCCATGTGCGGAAACTTTGCATGCACATTCATGACACTAAATGAAAAATATCTACCAAATTTCAAGAAGAAATAAATAGTTGAATCAGTATCTTGAGTCATTTAAAATAAGTATGTGGGTCAAATTAACCCCAACACAAAAGTCGTAACAAACTCCGTACAGCCTTTCCAAAACAAATCTATGTGCTGAAATTTTGCATGCACATTCATGGTGCTAAATGAAAAATACCCTCCAAATTTCAAGAAGAAATTAATATTTTAACCAGTATTTCGAGCAGTTTGAGAATTTGAGCTTGGGTCAATTTGACCCAACATAAAAGTAGTAACAATTCTCAGCACAGCCTTTCCAAAAGACACCCATGTGCGGAAACTTTGCATGCACATTCATGACACTAAAAAAAATATCCACCAAAAATTTCAAGAAGAAATAAATAGTTGAATCAGTATCTTGAGTCATTTAAAATAAGTATGTGGGTCAAATTAACCCCAACACAAAAGTCGTAACAAACTCCGTACAGCCTTTCCAAAACAAATCTATGTGCTGAAATTTTGCATGCACATTCATGGTGCTAAATGAAAAATACCCTCCAAATTTCAAGAAGAAATTAATATTTTAACCAGTATTTCGAGCAGTTTGAGAATTTGAGCTTGGGTCAATTTGACCCAACACAAAGTAGTAACAATTTTTGCACAGCCTTTCCAAAACACATCCATGTACCTAAACTTTGCATGCACATTCATGACGCTAAATGAAAAATATCCACCAAATTTCAAGAAGAAATAAGTAGTTTAACTGGTATTTTGGGCAGTTTGTAAAATAGATTGTGGGTCAGTTTTGACCCAACACAAAAGCTGTAACGATTTTTGTACAGCTTTTCTAAAACACATCTATGTGTTGAAACTTTGCTTGCACATTTATAACCCTAAATGAAAAATATCCTCCAAATTTCAAAAGGAAATAAACAGTTTAACCAGTATTTCGAGCAGTTTGAAAATTTGAGCGTGGGTCAATTTGACCCAACACAAAAGTTGTAATAGTTTTTGTACAGCCTTTCCGAAACACATCCATGTGCCGAAACTTTGCATGCACATTCATGACGCTAAATAAAAAATATCCACCAAATTTCAGTAAGAAATAAAGAGTATTTCAAGCAGTTTATAAAAATGAGTGTGGGTCAATTTGACCCCAACACAACAGGGGGTCAAAAAACTTCAAACTTCAAAAAACTGAACTATAAGTCTAAGAGGTCATAAAAAAACCCCAACACATTGGCTGTTTCAGGTCAGAACTGACCGTCCATAGGAAATGAATGGGAAAGCATCCAGAGATGTTTGCATTTGATTGTTGCTGTGATATGAACAGGAAACTCACAATCTGAGGTGTGTCACTCCTCCGCAGTTCGCTCAGGTAATATGGAGTGCTCTTGCGCGATGGCCGCCAGCTCCTTCAGGAACTCGGCGAACAGAAACGTAGTGAACACTCTGTTCCGCAGGTGCGGCGGGATTTTGGGGCAGGGAGGAAGAGGTTTGCGTGGACGACCCGAGACGTGGCCATTCAGGAACCAGCCGGCGTTTTCTTGCATGTGGACTTCTC